TCAGACCAGTATGTCTGCATTTGAATAGGTACCATATATTTTAGAAGTCCTTAATTAATTTTAAATATTATTAAGATAATTAAATAATAATTTAAGGAGTACAAGTAAAGGACAATTTTGTCTATTATGAAGTTTTTAATAAAAAAGGTAAAAACTCTAATCAACATGATCTTCATGCTTATAAAGTACTTAACTAATAATTTAAAATACACACTTTACGTGTGACATATATTTATTAGTATATACCGTTTAAGAAAAATACTATTTTCAAATAAAATTAAAGATAAAAATGTGATTATATTTGTTTGGATCAGTAAAAAAATTATGTCATACAAAACTCCTCAAACACATATGCTAATAGGAAAGAGATGAAAATCTAAAATAAAATATTGAAGCGCTTTCTCGTGTTTAAAAAAATAAAATCTACCTTAGATTATAATTATAACTATTTGTGAATGATATGAAATTGAATTCGCTTGTAAATCACATTCAACAAATCTATGCTTCCAAAATAACATAAAATCAAACGTCATAAATATTTAATAATATTATATTAGACCACCAATTCTTCCTTTATATCTTACAAGAATGACATGTATAATTTATTTAAATACCAACATACATGATCCATACATCAACGATTAATCATTAATTTAAGTTGGCCTCCTAATAAAAACTTAACTGGGCACTATTATCCTCCTTCATATTTTTTTTCCAAAAATAAAAATGAAATCTGAAATAGTAAAATATTAAAAAATATCTAATTATAGTTTTACAATAAAAATACATATTACGCAACAAGTGTTACACAAATAACAAACTTTACTTATAAATAACAAAATTGATATAGACCTTAGATCGTTTTAAATTTAATGACAGAATAATCGTAAACCTAAAGTGTAATAGTGAATAATATTATTTTGTATAAAAATTAATTTAAAATAATTACGTCGTTAATTTTGTACGTTTCTTTTAAAAATGTAAAAACATTATTATATGCACTTATTTAAACCTTTCATAGAATTTTGTCTTCCATAAAAATTTAAAGAAAAAATGTAATAAAAATAATTTTATTTCTTAAAATAGTTAACTATATAAGGAAATTTCTATATACATGTACCAAATTTTAATATTTCTAAAATCATTAAAAATATTACGATCCAACGGTGATGATGGTTCCATCTCTAGCTGGCATGACTGTAGAGAATCACTGCCTTTAAACGAGACCTACATTGTTAAATCCTCCGTTACAAGATCAGCCAACAAAATAACGCCACGTGTCTCATCAACCCTACGGCCTCGTATGCCCACCGTATGATCTAAGCACCGCTACGTGATCTTATTACAATTGCAACGTGTCCATTATCAACCTGCTACAACCGGTTTTTGTAGGGTTAAGTACGGGTCAAGCCGGTCATTTACCTGGACAATTCCCGCTAGGTATAAAAATTTGTCATCGAAGTTTTTTCCGATTAATTAGTCGCTAAAATCTATCGCTCTCTCTTTCTCTCTCTGGTTTTTGCTCTTACAAGGTTCGTAGCTCTTCCGTTACACTCTAGTTTTTCTTTTTTCTTCTCTTTTTTCTTTTTTTCATTTTAATCTATGTTGCGTTAAGCTTTTTTCTTTTTTTTTTTGATGTTGGTTGTAATTGTTAATAGCATGATTTTGATGAGCTGCAAGATGAGAAATTGTGTGCTGTTTGTTGTGTTGCTTGATCTTATGATGTTAATTTCCAGTGGGGTGAAGCTGATGCTTCTAATCAGAAGATGAATTAATGTTATAGCGATGTTTTTTGTGTTGAATTTGTACAGGATTCGAGTAATTTTCACTGATTTTTGGGGGTTGGGTTGATGCTTAAATGTTTGATTTTTGAGTGTTTGTTTGATTTCACATTTTCCACTGGAATTTCTAATTAAAGAGTATCTGTGTTTAAGTCAGGAAAAAAAAAGAATCTGGTTTTTTCTATTTATTTTTAGTTGTTTGTAAGATTAGGGTTTTGATGGATTTTTCTTCCTTTTTTGTCTACAATGACGATGTAGGGTTTCGATTTTGGCTCTCTTATACATGCATTTAAACACTTTTTACGTTGTGTTCTTCACCTGGTTGATACATGATCTCTATAGTGGCTCTTGGATTTTCACTTAGGAGGTCCAAAAATTAAAATGTGGTACCTTTTCAAGTTTTGAACTTGGAATCTCAAGGTAAATTTTGAACCCTCTAAACCAATTAACCTACCTCTTGTCTTGTGTTCAGGGCAAAATCTATCTATCTATCTATATATATATACCCAAAAAAGTAAGAAATTACTTTTGTATATACAAGGGGTTTTGGGTGAAACCCTCCGGACCCCCTACTGTTCCTGGTAGCTGCTAGGATAGGAAGTTTTTACTTTTATTCAATGCTTGGTATGTTAAAATGGGTTCTTCATACGTAGATTGTTGTTACATTTTTTTTAAAAAAATGATGTGAGTAAATTTTTTGTCACTACACAGGACAAAAAGATCTGGTGCTTCATTTGGTTGGCAAGGATAGTAACATAATCGGATGATTTGATGTTTCCAGATTGGTTGATGAAATTTTGAAGGTTATATACAAAGGCTTAAATTTAGTTCTGCGCTCTAGAGCCTGAAATAACACAAGGGGTAAGCACTGGAGAGGTACTTGGATTCCAGCCACCAGGGGATTGTGCCTCCAATGGCGCCTTCTCGTGTGGCTGGAGGGATGGCACATTCTTCTTCAAGTTCTGGTATTTTTTTCCAAGGAGATGGGCAGTCTCAAGTTGCGGGAAATTCTCACTTGACTTCATCTTTTGGGAATTCATCAAATTCACTACCTGGAAACGCACGCTCAAGCTTGGGTCCTCTTTCTGGGGATGTCAGTAATACAGTTTTGAATAGTGTAGCAAGCTCAGGTCCTAGTGTTGGGGCAAGTTCATTGGTTACGGATGCCAATTCTGGACTTTCAGGGGGTCCCAATCTTCAGAGAAGTGCCAGCATTAATACGGAGTCCTACATGCGGTTGCCTGCATCACCGTTGTCATTTTCTTCTAATAACATAAGTGTGTCTGGTTCATCAGTCATGGATGGATCTTCAGTGGCTCAGCAAAGCTCTAACCAAGATCCCAACTCCCAACAACCTCAGCATAATCAGCAGCTTCATGGAACTTCTAGTGCCACCTCTTTGCCAACATCTCGAGTTGGGCAGGTTCAGCTGGCCAACGGTCAAGGCCTTAGGGTACCAGGATCATTCATCCAGGATCCAGTTGCTTTGTCACAGATGCAAAAGAAACCGCGGCTAGACATCAAGCAAGATGATGTTATGCAGCAGCAAGTTCTGCAACAGTTGTTGCAAAGACAAGATCCTGTGCACATGCAGAACCCCAGTCCTCAGTTACAAGCCTTGGTTCAGCAGCAGAGGCTGAGGCAACAACAGCAACAGCAGCATCAGTTGTTGCAGTATCTTCCACCATTGCAGAGAGCCCAGTTACTGCAGCAACAGCAGCAGCTGCAAATAAGGCAACAAATTCAACAACAAAGCGTGCAGCCTGTATCAGGAATGAAGCGTCCCTCTGATGGTGTCTTGTGTTCGAGACGGTTAATGCAATACTTATATCATCAACGGCAACGACCTTCTGTGAGTGACTTTGTTTCTCGTTGTGAAAACCCATATGGAACACGTTCATGCGTCTCATTTCTGTTTGATGTCTTTTAGGATAACTCCATTGCTTACTGGAGGAAGTTTGTCGCCGAGTATTATTCCCCACGGGCAAAGAAGAGATGGTGTTTGTCATTATACGAGAATGTTGGACATCATTCACTTGGCGTGTTTCCTCAGTCAACTATGGTATGTTTACCATCATGTTTTTTTATTTGAATTAGTTTTCGTTTCCATAAGTTAGAAATTGGTCTACCACCACTGCTATTGGTTTGTGCTCTTTTTGTTCAACATTATGTGCTATGCTGAATGCTTGATTGAGAGAGTATTTTTTTAATCATATGGTTGGGGTTATAACTTGTATCTGGCTATTATTTTGTTCTCGTGTTATTGTCCTGCTTGCTTGATATAATATGATGTCTGGTCTTCCATTACATTAATTCATTTTCTCCTTAAACTTATTACGTAAGCAGCATATTCTAATTATTTTTCTTACTCTTCCTTTTTTTTTTATGCGGGGCACCAGGATGCATGGCATTGTGATATTTGTGGCTCAAAATCGGGCAGAGGATTTGGTAAGTGGAACAGTTGTCAATTAATAGTCTATGATTTGAAGCTGGCACATCACTAGGGTATGTCATGTTATCGATACCATCAATTCTATTGCTTGTGTTCTATCAGCTAGTAGCCATTCTTGCTATAAGAGTAAAACCACTATTTATGTAGGAAATACAATTGCTTTACTTTGAACTTGAGGACATTTCCTTGGGGCTGTAGGAGGTATGGGGTAGAATTGTTGTATATAACTTGGTCTGCACGGAAGTTAAATTTCAGTTTCTATCAGACACTCATCTGCATAATTACACTATATATTGTCTAGTTTCACTTCCGTGGGGCCGTAGTGATAGTTGATGTGGTCTTTCTTGGATCAAAAGGAACTGTTATGCAACAAAGCTTCAATTTACCCCTTTGAAGAAGAGGGTAGAATTCTTGGAGGAACTGACACTTCGAAACTGCATTAAATGGAACTGTGTAAATATAGCATTAAAAAATGCATGTCCCTTGCTAAACCTGAATGTTGCTAGTCGAATATGTAACCGTACTTATCCAAATTAGAATTTCAATAAATTCCTAACCTGGAACTTTAGAGTCAATGTCTCTTGAGCACCAAAAAGAACCCAAAAAAGGAAGAGAAGTGTAAACCTATATTTGAACTCTTAAGATGCTCATTTATACAGTATGGTCTTGGTGGATTAGTATAAGTGCTAGAATCGTTGGTGGATAGTGCTCTTGAAGTGTTACTTTAGAATTGTAAATATCGAATAGACGTGATGTAATATCTTAAATACATTAAAAAAAAGAAAAGGTCACGGGTGGATCCCAGTGACTATTTTATTCAAATCGAAAAGGTCTGTACATGAAATAAAGGAAAAACACTCAAATTGAAGAGCAGATTGGTGAAGTGACTCTGCCAACTCTTATCATATATAATACATTGATCCTTGGCCCATGTGATTGTCCTTTGACATATGTATTGCTGGTCTCATCCTTCCTTTGTACCTTTAGTTGTCAGAACATGTGGAAACCGATAATTGTAACGCCTCTTAAGTCTTGAGGCATCTGACTCAGCAATCATCAGACTATGCGGTGAAGAGAAGGAACTAAACAATGAACATAGATGGAAAACTGATTTCTAATTGATAGAAATATTACAGGGGAATTGTTGCTGATCAGGAAAAGAGAATTGGATATTAGTACACGATGAAATCAGTGACTGAATCTGATTCTGCAACTTAATTAACACGGTTTCATAATTCCGAAAAAAAAGAAGACATGTTTTTTACTTGATATATTTCTCTTTATTGCATTTTTGGCCCCCCCTTATTCCATAACTGTTATTTTGTGTTTATCAGCTTTTTAATTACTCGAGTACGTTATCTTTCTTTGTCAGCTTTTTTCAATTGCTTTAGTTGCTTGGTGCTTAAAGTCCCTGCAGACATTGATTTTTCATGCTATCCGGTCTTTTTGCTTTGGCTGCTGCCCTGTAAACATTATTGGAAATTAGAAGTATGAGCTTCTTAAAGTTTGTGAGAACAACAGAGTTATTGTTTAGTTAGCTACAGGTGGCAGAACTTTAAAAGAGCGGCAAGCTTGTGTTTGGACATGCATATGAAGTCATGATTTTAAATGATGATTCCAACTGCGACTTGGAATCATGATTTCAAATCCCAATTTTTTCCCAAAAAGAAGAAGGAATGATTGCGTAGTTATTAATACCTGATATCTGACTTGCTTCGTTTTTGGTGTCTTCAACAGAAGCAACTTTCGAAGTTCTTCCCAGGCTGAATGAAATCAAATTTAGCAGTGGTGTCATCGATGAACTCTTGTTTTTGGATTTTCCGCGCGAATGCAGATTTCCCTCAGGGTTAATGATGCTGGAATATGCCAAAGCAGTTCAGGAAAGTGTATATGAACAACTTCGTGTGGTTCGGGAAGGTCGACTTCGAATCATTTTTACCTCTGATTTGAAGGTACCGTAAAAAATGATTAGCTGTGACCATGAGTGCCTAGTTTACTCAATTCATTTATAGCTTTGCTTTTCTGCTTATCCCCAGATATTGTCATGGGAATTTTGTGCTCGGCGTCATGAAGAGCTTCTTCCGAGGAGATTAGTTGCACCACAGGTATTGAACTGAATTTAATTTCACTGGCTCTAACTCTTCTAAGCTCTTTTTTTGTTCTTTCAGTAAACTTTTTGGACCATCCTCAATGTGAAATTGCATTGTAGGGTTTTTATATTTAATACGTTCACTCATTATGATAGCCAAGGGTCTATATCTTTTTTTTCTTTGTCCAGTATTCCCATGTGCAGGTGTTTGTTTCTCATGTTGAATATGTATGCAGTTTTGTGGCTTTTTGGAGAATTCAATGTTTAGAGGATTTCTGAATTTTGTTTATATGACCACCTTCGATTGTTTCTTGAATGGAATCATGCAACTAATGTATTGGATATGTGTAATCTGTTTAACTGTTCTGTATCCTGGTTATTTGATTTGACTGGGACAAGCCTGAGTAGAACCCTCTTTGCTGTGGAGGTCCTGGAGATTCACTTTGGAATAGAATGAGATGATTCTGATTGACCCGATCCACCACTTGTGCAACAGTCCCTTTCAACTTAGTCTTTATGACTCAGCTGACAGCGAATGAAAAGCAATTTCAGTGTTTAGGACTTGCTCTCATAACACTGTTCTTTGTAGGTAAATCAATTGGTGCAGGTTGCTCAGAAATGCCAAAGTACATTAACAGAAACTGGACCTGATGGAGTTTCTCAGGAGGATTTACAAGCGAACAGCAACATGTGAGTGAAAAGCTACCCGTCCCCTCCCCCCTTCTCCCAGACCCCCACAAAAAAAGGCTTTGTTTCACTTTCTCAGTATGTAATTCATTTTGTTTCTCCTTTTGTTTTAGCTTTATATGTACTTCCTGTCTGTCTACTAATTTGTGTATATGATTATAATTTCTACTGTGAGTCGTGCCTTTACTGTATTTTCTGGGCTGTCTCACTTAGTTCTACCTCATCCGAAATGATGAACCCATATTAGTATATGCTTTCCACTCTACGCTTGTAATGACTTTCCATTACTGCTAACAACTAAGATAGGCCCCCAAAAAAGGAGTTTGTTTGATTCTCAAGTAAATAGAGAACCACCTGATGAGGACTTCTTTTGAACTACAAGCTTCCATTATGTCTATTTTTGTAATACCAGGAGTTCATAGTGGTTAATGCATTTCTAACCATAGAGAATAAACTTCTTGTTAATTTCGGGAGATGTATTGTCTCTTATATCTGACAATTGGTCTGAACTATGATCTCATGTCACATTTTTGATGTTGTGCGTTAGGGTCGTCACGAGTGGACGCCAACTTGCAAAGAGTTTGGAGTTACAGTCACTGAATGATTTGGGATTTTCCAAAAGATATGTGAGATGCTTACAGGTATGTTTGGATGAGTCTGGAATGGGAAGATAAAAGACTTTTGGGGAAGAAAACATGAGGACAATAATTTTTCTCAGTCCATGTATAAAAGTGTGTAAATCTTCGTCTATCTGGCTTTCTAATGTTCTAGTACTTGATTCTTTGACATGTGATGTTCAGATTGCTGAGGTCGTGAATAGCATGAAGGATTTGATGGATTTTTGCAGTGAGCATAAAGCTGGTTCCATTGGTAAATATATTTGTTTCTTTTTATAATTTTGATTATAGATAAAACTAAAAATATCCGTCCTTCCAATTACTAACTGTCCCACATTAGTGTTTAACTATTAGCTGTTTTTGGGCATGTTGAATTCTAAATAAAGGATTACTCCTTGTTTTGCAGAGGGCTTAAAGAGTTTCCCGCGACATGATAACACAGCCAAGTTTCAGATGCAAAATATACAGGAAACAGAGCAGCAGGTGGGTAATATTCAGGGTCTGCCAACCGACCGCAGTGCGTTGAACAAGCTTATGTCTCTCCATCCTGGGCTTAATAACCAAATCAGCAATAACCAGCAGATGGGTGGTCGGGGAGCTTTAAGTGGCTCTGGACAAGCTGCTCTTTCGCTGTCAAACTTCCAAAATTCGCTTATGCGGCAGAATTCAATGAATTCAAACACAAACTCAACCCAACAAGATGCGTCTTCTTCTTTCAATAATTCAAACAACTCTCAATCTTCACTGTTGCAAGGATCCAATGGTATGTTGCCAGGGACAGTGCAGAACTTACCTGTCAGTGGGTTGCCAAGTACCAGTCTGCAGCAACAACAGCAGCAATTACTGAGTAGTGGTTTACTCTCGCAAAGTCAATCTCAATCCTCGCAGGGAAGCCAGGCGCTGCAGCAGCAAATGATCCAGCAGCTCCTCCAGGACATGAACACCAACAATGGTGGGTCTGGAGTTCAACAGCAGTGCCTTTCTGGACAGAGTGGAGGTGGTAGTGCTTCGAGGGAAGGGGTTGCTTTTGGCAACAATGGGTCTGGAGTTCAACAGCAGTGCCTTTCTGGACAGAGTGGGGGAGGTGGTAGTGCCTCGAGGGAAGGGCTTGCATTTGGCAACAATGGTTCCCTAGCTGCTGCAACATCTTCTCATGGGCCGGGGAGCAGTTTAGGACCCACACCGAGTAGAATCTACAGTTTTAAATCAGCATCCAACCGTGAACCCTCTCCATTGGTTGGCAACAGTGGTTTCAGTCAAAAAGCTCCAGATTTGCCCCGAAGTTACAGTTTCAAATCGGGATCTAACTGTGAACCGTCTTCATCGGCTGGCAACAGTGGCTTCAGTCGAAAAGGTCCAGATTTGCCCACAAATATGCATGTATCAGATGATGATATTCTTACCCCTGAGATGGTTCAGGAATTTGCTGAAAATGGTTTTCTTAGCAGTGATCTTGACAACAATATGAGTTATCCTGGATGGAAGGGTTGAGTTGCTCCGTGGGGTGGGTGGGTTTTTATGAGAGATAAAAGTACTGCTAATATACATTTGTACAGGTTGCTTGTGTTAGATTTTTGTTTCCTTGTGATTCTCCCGTATTTTCTAGTTTGAGGCTGTTGTGGTTTTAAGCACTTGCACTCTTTAGGTATTCAGCCCTGGTTTCTTTGCTTGTTTACACCTTGAAAGTCATGCACAAGTGTAATCTATGGAAAATGTACTGGACAACACATTATCAACTGCTTACTGATCTTCTGTTCAGTTCATTGTTTTCTATTTTTCGGTCTGTTCGTAGGGATATCCAAATACTTCCTATCATGCAAATTGATGGGGACTTGGAAGATTTGCCTTTTGGCTTTCTGTCTCTCTCCATTTGCTTTAACGATTGGATGTATCTACTATCGCAACTCTTGTTGAACTTGTTAAAAATTGAAACCCAAACTATTTTATGTTAACCAGATCCTCCTAAACTACCACACATCTTTTTTAATGCAGAATCGGATTAAGCCTTTGGATTTCTGTGAGATAAGATTAGGAACGAGGATATTCAGAAAGAGGTGAGACTGATTACCGTGGTGGATAAGATGAGAATAACGCAACTGAGATGGTTTGAACATGTAAATAGGAGATGTGTAGATGCACCACTAAGAAGGTGGGAGTGGTTGGTTATAAAGGGTACGAGGAGAGCCAGATGTAGGCTAAAGAAGGAAGAGTAGAGGTGATAAGACAAGATATGACGCAACTTCAAGTTATCGAGGTCATGACCTTAGATAGTAGGATAGTTGGTGGCTGCCATTCTACTAATTGTTTTAGTGTAGTTCCTGATTTTGATATATAATATTGTTAGTTCTTGCTTTTAATAATCTGTCCTAATGATAAGGCCATCCTATATTTTACCCGCTAAATTCCACTTGTATGAAATACTAGGTATATTATTGTTGATAAATTTATTAAATATATGTATGAATAACCTATAAATTCAATTATTGTTACTATATATTAGTCAATTTGAGATTACCTCAATAATTTATATATTTTAAATTTTGAATACGCCACAAAAACCATCACAACAAGGTAGGTGAGCACTGAGCATGCAACTTGGATCTGAACAGCCTAAGCAGTCTGGTCCAAAATCCGAACAAATAACAAAGTAACGTAGGTCCAAAAACTAAAATGCAGTCAGTTCGAGTGATAGAGAAATACCTGTCTCTATTGATCGTCACACAAGACGATCTCACGCTCGAGAAATCATATATCTTGTATACGTGGACGAGTTATATTATTATAAAGAATAAAATTCGTATCGAGAAAATTGAAACATATTGCAATAATCGTAATTTGTTTTCTCTCTCGGATCTTGATGAACTTGTTTTCGATTTGTATTTGAATTCAAGATCCTCTGAGATTGATCTTGAATCCTAGAACTTGTAGGGAAATGTTGGAGTGTTTATAGAGAAATTTGTGACATTTGATCCACAAACATCGTAGAATTTTGATGAATTTTATGAGTTATGTACGGTTGTAAAATTAAAAAGTTGTGTAAAATTAAAAAGTTGTGATAAAATAAACTTCTTTAATATAATCAGATTTAAGTGATATGAAAATATTTCATTGGTTGAAACATGTATTTCTACCATCCTTTAATTTGGATACATGTATGTCATTTTGACACGTGGCATGATTCTATTGTTTCTTCATTCGAATTATTGATTGGAACATGTGATATATTTCTACCATCCTTTAATTTGGATACATGTATGTCATTTTGACACGTGGCATGATTCTATTATTCCTTCATTTAACTTAATATATCATGTCATTAACACGTAACATCGACATCTAGAATGAAATGATGTAGAGCTTAACATAAAATTGAACTTCAAGTAAATGCTTATTTATTAATCTTAAATAATCAATTTAATTATGTTAATCTAAAATATTTATTTGAAGTAATATATCTTTAATTTAATATATTTGCCTTATT